GACTGACGGGAGTCTATGGTAGGTAATGAACGTAGTTAAAGACCCAGTAGCTGTAATGAAAACGTCTCTAACGACGTTCTAAATAACTATTTTGGGTTGAAAACTTGTTGCATTTATCTTTGAAATTGCTTATCTCCTGTTATAATAAAATTTACATTGATCTCTGTGCGGATACGAATGCAGAGAAAATGCTCACGATCAAACTCAACGCCATATTTCTAGGTGGTCTGACCGATCACGAGATGAAGAACTCCAACAATCATTGACGCTGCAGTTCGGCGTCTTTTACACCGATCTGACGCATATCGCGCTTGGTGTGCCGGGAGTTTGTTCGAAATTTCGAACGTTTCGAAGTCAATTGTCGATTGCCACGTAATTTACGGATATATTAAATCGTTTCAGAGACCTGTTTACTAAATAATGATAAATGAAACTTAGAAAGCTTGTAAGAACAAACTGGGCCCAAATCGCACAAATTGCAATAAGTTTACGCTGGTTCGGATGGAGTTCTACGCGTGATTTTATTGCGCTCAAGGACGTTCTATTTTCGAACTAGTTGAAACCGGAAATAACGCAGCTACTTTCGAACTTCAAACACAAATTTGATTATCGTTAATATGTGTTAGTTTCTGTTGTTTCAAAGATTGAATTATGTATGACAATAATATTTCACTCTATAAACAATATTTCACTAAAATATGTGATTCAAAGGCAACCCAAATTGTAAAAAGCAATATCAAGTTCCGCGTATAAACACTGTTGTAAAGAGGCGGCGGAGCGGATTTTTAGCCCAAATCGTTTAGTAAAGCGTCATATGACACAGGTTTGTGCTGGGACAGCGCTTCCGGTGACGACACAACAGAGCATTTCGGAATTGCGCACGCGCAAACAATCAGTAATGACGTATGATGGTTTAATAAACGGAGCTTAGGGTACGTACAATAAACACTTCACGATGTTGATTCAGTGCTTTTAGCGAGCTTATAAAGCATACAGAAGGGCCCGGTACCAAATAATTGAACTAGTTTCAGCTAATAGAACGGAAATAATTGCTATTCATGTAGAACACGTTTGCAATACAAAAAACTAGGTCGTTACAGCTAGTGTATCTTTAATACAAGATTGTCTCTGATTGGTTACCAAATCTAATTAGGAAGCCAATCAGAAATTATCTTGCCCTGGATGAGTGACTTACAAAGTTGCCACCAATTGGCTGACCTTACTTGTTTCACACCCAAAAATAAGTGAGATGATATAGATACACTATAAAAGCAGAAACTACATTATATAGTAGTTGTAAGGCTAGTTAGTTAGTGCAAATGTTAGCTGATTAGCCCTGCGTACAGTGCTGTGTGTACGGGGACGCGTTTGGTTGACAGATGTCCCCATCACAGCCCTGCGAACTTCCATAGACAAAATCCGGGACTTTGAAAAATATTACTTTTTTAATGAAATAACATGACCAGGTACCCAAAATGATGATCGATTACCAGATATATCCAGAACTCCCAGTTCGGAGTCCAATTGTGGATGAAATTGGCAACTTTGCCCTAAAAACAAACGCATTCTCTTGCGTAAATGAAATAATCAAAGAAAGCTTAGAAAGAACTCCTGTGTGCTGAGAGTATTGGAGACACATTAAAAATTAATTAAAAATTACTTGAACTTGAGATATTGATGGAAAAGCTTATGCAAATAAGGTAACTAATATGAACAGATTTAAGTGTAAAACTAATAAGGTCTGCACAATGTAAAAGATTTTCGTAATATAATATCTATGTACCAAGTTTCATTGAAATGTGATTAGAACCAAAAAAATATTAATCATTATGCTAATTAGTGAATTAATATGAACAGATTTTAACCCGAAATTAATCAGGCTGCCTATTGTCCTTGAGCATTTATGTACCAAATTTTATTCAAATGTGATGATCAGTACTTGAGATACAAGTATTAATTAATTAATTAATTAGGTGATTAAGAAGCATAAATATTTACCAAAACCTAATATGGTGTATAGTCCTAGATTCATTGAAATGTGGTGATGAGTACTCTTTAAAAGTGTCATTAAAATCCAATGAGTAGTTCTTTAGATATCAGTGCAACAGCCATGGAACAGCAACAAATTAACTATGAATAATTATGAAATTAGGTAATTAATATGCAAAATTATTTACCCCAAAATTAATCAGGTCTCTGCATAGTCCTAGAAGATCTATGTTGCAAGTCTCATTGAAATGTGATGATTAGTACTTGAGATATCAGGTGAAAAGCTGAAAATTAACTAATTATGCTAATAAGGTAATTAATATGCACAAATATTTACCCAAAAACTAATTAGGTCTCTGCACAGTCCTCAAGTAACTATGTACCAGGTTTCATTGAAATGTGATCATTATTGCTTGAAATATCAAAAGCTGAAAATTAATTAATTATGCAAATTAGGTAATTAATATGTACTGAAATTAGCCTAAAAAACTATCAGGTCTGTGAAGTGTCATATGTCATCTATGTACCAAGTTTTATTGAAATGTTATGATTAGTATTTGAGATATCAGTGGAAAAGCCGAAAATTGATTAATCATTATGTAAATTAGGTAATTAATATTCATGGATTTTCACCAAAACCTAATCAACTCCAGTGTTCTCCCCAGACTTCATGTCAAGCATCACAGCCAATTTGCATAACAATGTAATTTGCATAATTTGTATTTGTATAATAATCAGTTTTTCCCAACAAATATTGTCAATCTACAATTAATTAAAGACAAG